GCGGCACGGCGGAGCAGAAGAAGCGACGGAGTAGCGGAGTGAGTAGTAAGGCTAGCAGTCTGCTGGCTAGTGCTAAGAACACCCTGAACTTCGCGCAGGTTGGCCGCGGTAGCAACGATATTGCCTCCGCCCTGAATCAGACACCTCTACAGAAGCTGGGCAAGCAGGACCCCTCGCTTGCCGTGCCCCAGGGCCAGCACAACAATGCCGCCGGAGAGTCATTGCCCGGCCCGAGATCTACGTTCCGTGTGGGTGTGTGGGAGGACAGGAATAAGAAGTGCCGAAGAACCATGGAGGACACCCATGCCTTCTTGTACAACTTCCTGCAGACCCCGGCACCGGCACTGGTCACAGAGGCAAGCAGTCAAAAGTCTCTAAAGTCTACAGACGAGAGCGGCGATGGCCAGTCTACCACATCCGCCCAGGACATGATTGAAACCGACAATGGATACTTTGCCATCTTCGACGGACATGCCGGCACGTTTGCCGCAGACTGGTGCGGAAAGAAGCTTCATCTCATCTTGGAGGAAATCGTTAGGAAAAACCCGAATGCCCCGATACCTGAGCTCCTGGACCAAACCTTCACAACAGTTGATACACAGCTGGAGAAGCTGCCTCTAAAGAACAGTGGTTGCACGGCGGCTATAGCTGTGCTACGTTGGGAAGATAGAGTTCCTAGTACCGCCTCTGCAACCGGGTCCCAATCAATCGCGCCAGCGGTGTCCGCCGCGGCCAAAGTTACAGACGACGGAGCAAAGCCTGAAGAGGGCAAATCGGAAACCAGCTTAGAAAAGCAGACCCCCGAGGCTGCCCATGCCAGGCTAAAGGGCGCGGCGACGAGGCAGCGCGTCCTGTATACCGCGAATGTGGGCGATGCCCGTATCATTCTCTGCCGTTCCGGAAAGGCTCTCCGCTTGTCGTACGATCACAAGGGAAGCGACGAAAATGAAGGAAAGCGGATCGCAAATGCTGGCGGCTTGATTCTGAACAATCGAGTCAATGGTGTATTGGCTGTCACAAGAGCCCTTGGCGACACGTACATGAAGGACCTTGTTACCGGTCACCCATACACGACAGAAACCGTCATCCAGCCTGACCAGGATGAGTTCATCATCATCGCCTGCGATGGAGTGAGTCCCTCTGCTTATTCTATACCTGCTTTTGCTAACAGTTGCTCTAGTTGTGGGACGTTTGCTCTGACCAAGAAGCCGTTGACCTCGTTCGGAATGTCCAAGAGCCAGTGTCTGCTGCCAAGCTCCTAGTCGACCACGCGCTGTCCCGTTTCAGTACTGACAACCTATCTTGTATGCTTGTCCGCTTCAACAAGGACGCTCTACTGGAGAACCAGAACAACAAAGACAACCCGATTGGGGTAGAAGGAGACCAGTCCATCGTCCCAGGCAAGGTCAGCGAGGCCGAGAAGATTGTGAGCACCACGAAGCAAAAGATCACGGAGGGCATCGCCCCTGCGGTCGGAGTGTCTGCGAGCAACAGCGGCCGCGGCCACGACCCCGTGCCTCTCGAGGACGGCGACAACTCGTTCACCCCGACTGCTATTGAGGGCCCTGTGGAGGAGGAGCCCGCGCAGATCGACAATGATGACTCCCCAGAGGTTGTGGGTACTGCCGATGCGCCGCCTGTGATAGAACTAGAACAGCCGCCGCCGCCTAAGAATCCCCCTTCGGATTCTTGACCCTAAAATCTATTGGCCGCTTGTCGCTTTTCTACCTTGATGGCACAGGTCATCAGCTGTGGCTGACGGACTCGATCTGCTGCAGGAGTGAAGACAACACACAGAAGCTTCGATCCGTTGAAGGACCGCGAGTTTTGGACTGAGCATATCAGCCTCCGCAATATTTGTCATATTGGTCACTGGACCGGCTAGGGAGGCGCTCCATGTAACGAGGTGCTTTGAGGGAGTCAAGACGTATGCATATGCTCATGCTTGCAGGGTTGCTATGGGGCGCGTGTGAGCAGAGTGTTTGTGGGCATGGTAGTTTCTAAGATGTTGGTACCAAGGGAAAGGGGAAAGGGAGAAAGAAGGGGAGCGGGTTTTGTTTTTTTCTGTCAATTGTTTTCTCTGTCTTCCAAGCTTCCCCATTTGCTGCTCCTCGTATGGCAAAACACGAACCGAATCGAACCGAACCGAACGAAAGAACGAACGAACGTATCCCTGTAACATGTAGTTTATGCTGTTATGCCTCCAGGTCGCCTGTGAACCTCGCCTCGCCTCGCCTCACCTCACCAAAGGGGGAGAGGAAGGGGGGTTTGCGATCATGATGGAAGGAAGAAAATAACCTATTGTAGCTTGTTACGAGCAACAAGATGTCGGGGTTCTTACAATATCTTTTTTGCCAATGGGATTGTCTCACCGCTCATGATCTAGACGGCTGCTTGTCTTTGTGTGTAATGTGTGGTGTGTGGTGTGAGGTGAAGTGTTGTTGTAGGTTGAGTGAAAAGATGCCATCTGCACATCCCCCGGCTTGGGCTTTGGACTGAGTCGTTAGTCGGTAGGTAAGGTTACCTAGGTAGGTCGGGGAGCGGGAGCTGCCGAATCTGCCTACCCATGGGCCGGTTTCACTCGACGAGAGCTGATCCGGGGGGGCTACCTTAAATCCGTAGGTTGATTGTGAGAGAGCCGTCCCAAATTCGGTCTGTCGAGTCTCGAATTGGCGCGAAAGCTAAATATTCATACTGCAGTAGATCATCACGTTTGGCGCCATAGTCGCCGCCGCGGAGGCGTTTCTTTCATTTCCTCCCGCGCCTTTATTCAAGGATTGCGAGCCGTGCGGTTCTCGGGAAACCTGGGATGGGTTGGATATTTGATATATTGCTATTGCGCGGGACGGACTTGCCCATGAATCCGTCTACCTCGCTCAGCCGATATTGAATGTCTATAGTCCATACATCTGTCGTCCCCAGCTACGTTGACCTGGGCATGATGCTTCCAGCTCGGATCCAGAGACACAAAGTGTTGAAGATCTGTCCGCCCGAGGACAGCACACGTGGGATGCACGTCCCCTGAAGAAGGAGCGGCACATCGGATCAGGGAAACACCTTGTCGACGGCATGCCTGGGCAGCCTGGCCGGTGTTTGTGGTGGCGCACGGGTCATCCTGCAAGCCCGCTTTGCGCGTGCTGAGGTGCCTGGCCTGGGCGGGAGAGAGAAATATCGCGCTGCTGCGGTGAAGGGTGCATTTCCGATTCGTCGCTCTCTTGTACGCACTCTGCGGCGAGATGGCATCACTTGTGGGCTGGGCTGCGCGGCGCGGCCTGGTATCTATCTACCTGCAGGCTATCTGTTCAGTCTACTTGTTGACTATATAGGTACGGTACCGCTCGTGATGCTTGGGGTGATCCCACGCACACCCACCCTAGACGCAGAGAGGTGAGCTCTCGTGAGGGGCAAAGAGGTCAAAGCGGGATGCGATGCGATGACTGACTGGCAGAGACCGGCTCAGGGCCGTGAGGTCGCATCGAGAGGTTGCGTGTTCTATGCGCTCTTATTCTTGTAGTGGCTGTTGACTATGCCATGCTGGAAAGTGTTGTGTCTCTTCTAACGGTGTTTGCTTGGAGATGTAGGCCTTTCATTTTGCAGATCCGGATATTGCGACGGCTTGGTTCAACGTCCCCAATCTATTGCCACCTTATCGTAGCTCGGCCGTTGATGATCGACTGCGCAGGACGGCAATCACGGGCGGGCGAACCAGTTTAAGGTGGCTAGTTAGTTAGATAGCTCAGGCTTGTCTTGTCATCTGGTCTCTTCACAGTTACAGTCGATGTCTAGAGGGTGACATGGCGTTGTCTATATGAGTTTGGCATTCCACATCTCGGAACAGGTTTTGATATTGGACGCCTCGATTCAATGTTTCGACGCAAGCCAGCTGCCACCACATGGCTTATCAAATGGAACTCCCGCATCGATTCACCTACCTGGGAACGCCTCTTCCCCCGCGCCACTCGCCCATCAAGTGGTTCCTAACGGGGAGAGGGAGGCAGGCAAGCAGGCAGGGGTGCGTGCGCGCTGCGCAGAAGGACCTGCAGGAAACATGAAGGGTTCGACGCACTGATTGGCGATGCAGGAGATTTTGAATGCAGGTCTAAGAGCGGATTAGTGGCCCCTGAGACGAACGGTGGGCACTTGGGATTGGGCTCGCGCCGAAAGGAAAGAAGCAATAGGTAGACTGTCATAATCGATGCATCTGTTTCAAGAGACGCGACGCGCATGGGATATAAATGATATAAAATGATATTCCAGGGGGACAATTGAGAGATGAGAAGCCCGGACTAGTACAATAGGAGCGTAGTGAGGAGGCATTTCATGTCCCCATTCCCACACTCTACCGGTATTCTATATGCTCTCTTCAGAGTCGCCCGAACCACTTCCCCTTGCCCCCGTTGCCTCTCATCCCCCATTTCGGGTCGCTTGTCAGGGGTCCCCCCTGTGAATGCATCTCCAAAAGCGGACCTAAAAAATAAAACATCCAAGGGAGTGCAGAGCATAGCGCACGGCAGCGCCAGGCCGTTTCGCTCTCTCTGTCCCCCTTCCCATCCAAATCCCTCCCTCGAAAAGCGAAGAGAAGAGAGAGGCCGCTCTGTTCTTCTGCTGGCTTCTGCTTGCTTGCTGGCTTGCTTGCTTAATTCTTGTCTTTCGTTATCCCATTTACAGTATCACCGCCTCTGTCAGCTTCTCTTACTAGTTCTCACGCGTATCGGCTGAGCTATTGCCCATCTTACCTGACTTCACATCTAGCTGGAAAGGCGAAGCTTTGTTTCCTATCTGTCAAAAGCACTCAGCAGCACTCTTTCTCGAAGGTCGAGCTAGAGCACCACCCCCCATCTCATCTTGCGCTTCTCCACTCGCCCACGGTGCTGTCTTCCGTGTTTTAGATTTGCCCGTACAATTGGATTGGATTGGATTGGAGCCAGCCCAGACCAGTCCTGTCCAGTCCAAGCCAGTTATCCATTATCCGTGCTCCTCTCGTCTCACCTGCCGACCGAAACACCCACAAGCACACAAGCACACAAGCACACAACCCCAGAGCCGCCGAATTTCTCGAGCTGTCTGTTTCGAACTTTGTCCGACCCTCCCTTCGAACACGCACGATAACCTCCCGTCCGTTTCCTATCGCCGTCTCCTCCCAAGATACCATTCCATGTGGTTGCGACCGCTGCGAGCCGCGCCCTCGCCTGTGACTCGGTACATGCCGTTTCGTTTCGCTCAGCCTTATTACCCCTGAATATCGTTTTTTTACTGGGGCCGCGAGCGACAGCAACAACCACCACCACCACCAACATCTCACTGCAGCAACAGCCCGTTTCGAGAATCTCGTCCAGAAAAAAGAGACGCCGCGACGGATCTGAACCACCGCATCTCTCTGGACTCGCCATTCGAGCTCCACGCGTCATTTGGAGATGTCGCTGAATGGATTGGACGATCCCAAGGTCAAGGAAGCGCATGAGACTGCCGTAGCGGAGCCCGGAGGATGGTATGTTCATGCTCATTCTAGCTCCCATCTCGTCCTTCCCCCGAATCCCCCCCAATTAAGCTTCTACGCGCCGTGGTTCGCAACGCCCCTTCCCGGGACAGGCACGGGAACTCCCCCGTTGACCGGTTTCCAATTTGAGAGCTCCCATGTTCTCTTGTCATTCCGTTCCGCTTGCATTTACCTTCGAAACCCTAACGGGGCTAACGTGAGCTCTTCTCTCGCCAAATAGGTTCCTCCTCAAATATGCCAGTCGCGATGAGGTTGAGTTGCTAGGTCGCGGGAATGGGGGCATCGTCGAGGTCCGCAACAACATCTCACAATACGAGGATACCTCTCCCTTGTACGGATTCTTGAGATACAGGAGGAGGAATGTCCTCATCAAATACCTGCCAGAAGATTGCTCCAGATTAGTTCAAGGTATGTGCTGACCGCGTGCTGTTCCTTCGTGGTGGCTCCTACGCCTCAAAACTCAAGGGGCTTTATGGTTGGATCACCGTCGGGAAAATTCAGGGACTAACTTCGTGACCGAAACTATGCAGCTCGAGTAACTGTCCACTTCAACTCGGTGTGCGAACGCTTCGCTCCCTATGACACCACATTCTCGATCGCGACGGCAAAGGAGCTGAAGGATACGAAGCTGTCTGCTGCATGCTCGCTGCACACAGCATCCGGGTCCACATCGTCCTCGACAAGCTCCCTGCGGCGGAGGAGATTGATGGAAATAGCAGAAGAGGAAGAGGAAGAACAGAGAGCCAAGCGACAGTCGGTTGTGAAAGAGGAAGACTCGCGGCCCGCGACCGCAGGCGTCCCCAGCGAGAGCGGGTTGCCCACTTCACCACCCGTCGCGCTGAATGCAGACCTAGCCGCCTCACCAGAACAGTCGCAGTTTGCTAGCACGACAGAACCGCCCTCTTTCACGGGCGTTCCTCGTCCGGCATCGCCAGCCAAGTCGTTTGACCAAGATACGGCCCAGCGCTACTCATTCCAATCTGGCAGACCTGACTTGTATAGCTACTCATCATACACCTATGGCAAACCGAGGGTAAAGCTTGGCCCGAGACCCTCTCTGGATGCCAGCGGCAGGCCGAAAACAGCTGGCGGGTACCGGCCTGTCTCAACCATTCCTGCAGGTCTCAAGCTCTCAAAGGGTTCAAAAAGGGGGAAGTCACAGGACAAGGGCCAGGACACTTCAGATTCTACTATAAAAGAGGCGCCGGAGATCACATTTCTGGCAACCTCGATACCTATCCCAGAAAACCTTCCGCTTGTGCAAGACACTGGACCGATCAGGCCACATACCAGCGGCGGCAGCGGAAGGCCAGCGACCAGCTCAGGAGTGTCGATCAAGTCCGCCATGGCATCGATTGCGCCACCGACAAAGCAGAATACCATAACACCCGAGAAGGCTCGTCTGATGAAGGCAATGCAACTAAGAGAGAAGAAGAAGAAGCAGAGCCTTCAGCCCGCGCTTCCATCTCCACCTGCGACCGTGTCCGAAGTTTCTAGCATACGGGAAGAGCCTGTTCCAGCTGAGGTCATTCCAGAAGAGACTGAGGACAATGAATCTCAAGACCTTCCATCTATGCTTCAGGTTGACAGGTTGTCCATGTCAAAGGCGGACTCAGGTATTGATGTTGCTTCGTCAATACATAACGACCATGTATCTGTGGATTCTCAGCTAGACTCGCATCCTGCATCACCCATCGGCGCCTCTTCCGAGATTGGCGACTCAACCAAGGCTTCTTCATTATCGGAGTCGACGGATGAGACGGTGCATGTGAATGAGGAAAAGCCGGTGCCCCAGGACGACGACGAGGAACCGGAAGCAGATGTTAATGAAAAAATCACCGGAGACGACAACGAAATCAACGAGGAAGATACTCCCATTGCCGAGGTCCAGGACGTAGAAGAGACCATTGAAACACACGAGGTCCCGGCGGAAGAGAAGGTTGAGGAGGAAGTTGAAAACGACGAGCCGACTGTCGAAACAGAAGTCTTGCCTGTTGAGACTGAACAAAAGTTACCAGAACCGAGTCCTGTTCTCCCAATCTCAAAATTCGCTGCCAGGGCCCAGGACTTGCCAGAAGTTATGGAGTCAATTGAACGGGACCCCGAGGTATCGGAACCTACTCACGTTTCTGACCTGAAGCAAGATGATGTAAAGAGCGCCTCGCCCGTCTCACCGCAGTTCAAGCTACCGAAGTCCAAGTTCTCCACTCAGGACATGACTTCCATCGCGAGTCCTGCAGTTCCCGCTATTGTGACACCTCCCGAGGAGGCCAACGAGGAGGCGGCACCGGAGCACGTTATCGTCGCAAAGGCTTCTATTGATGTCGAGACAGCTTCCATTGACAGCAAACGCTCTAAGCGGAGGGCTCTCGTGGAACCGATTAAGACAAATCTGGAACTTCCCGAGAGGGACAATGGTCTCTCAGATGACGATGACTTGATGGACGAACTACAAGATGCGGTAGTAGAAGAGGCGAAGCCGATAGCCGTGTCAAAATCACCAATCAGCCCAGTGTTCGCCTCAAGTCCTCCGAAGCAGACACCAAGAATCGTGCGCACGGTGTCGAATCCGATCAGAGGTCCTCTTCTGGCACCTGGCGATGTGTCCACAAGCTCAGCCAGGTCGCTCTCAGGTGGCGCGGCCTTCTTGCACAAGCTCACGCAACAGCAGTCTTCAAGTCATCTAGCGCCCAAGACTGGCAAGATTGGATCCAACATTTCACAACGGATCAAGGCACTTGAAATGCTGTCAGTCAGTAGCGGCGCCCCTACTGAAGGAGTACCTAAGGAAAGGCCGTCTTCTGCTTTCTTCTCTGTTCGCAGAGGCAGCGTTCGCGATCCTGCACGCTCCCCGTCTGTTGCAGAGCGCGCCAATTCTCTGACCAGGGGAGGCTTAACTCCTTCTCCACCACGGTCAAGGGAAACATCCCCTGAAGAGAATAAGGCTCCTTCTCGAGAGCGGTCTGCGTCTGTGGCTAGTCGGTTGTCTATGTTCGAAGGAGGGAATGCACCGCGTGGTAGGCCTGATTCGGTCCAGGTCACCGCGCGCATTATCCGTGACCCAAGCCAACCCTTCCCCAAGACACCGGAGCTGCGGACGGATTCGACGGAGTACACTCCGGTGGAATTCAGACAATCCACACTGATTGTGGATCTCCAAAAATCTGCCCCGTCTCTGGCGCCTTCCCCTGCGCCTGCCGTTCTGGCTGAGCCTCCTCAGGAGCCTCGTCCGTCTATCCAGGAACGGCGATTGTCGAAAGACAAGAAGCGACGGTCTCAGTCAGAGGACCGCACAGAAGATAAGCTAGAGGGTAATCGTCCACGACGCCGGTCTTCCTTGTCTATTGTTAAGGACTTCATTAAGGAGCGCCGGGGATCGTTGATTGGCAAGTCGCCTTCCACTGACAACCTCAACCTTACGTCTCCTGCTCTGTCAACACCAGGAACCGGGAGGTCGCCCTCTCGGCCTCCATCAGTACACACGAACACGGGCTTCACTGGGCGGTTGAGCATCAGCAGCCGACGATCATCGATCAGCCGGGATAACGTGATCACCCCTCCCACACCTGGCAATCCCCTCTCTCCCTCTTTGATGACGGAGACGAGCGGATCTGGTGATGAGAAGCAGTCTGATAGGAAATCCATCAGCGGTAGCTCCACTAAGGATGGGAAGAGCCGCGCCAGTCGCTTCATGCGGCGCCTCTCGAGCTCGCTGAGCTCGGGCCGGAACAAGCTGCCACCCTCTATCTCTCCGACCGTTACTGAGGAAGACGCTGCCGAGGTCGAGGCCAGCATTGGCGTCCCACCATCGCGCGGCAGCATTAACCCCAACGTCCCGAGCATCGTTGCATACTTGGGAGATGTGAATGTTCAGTTCCCGGACAACCTCCTCTGGAAGCGACGGACAATGTGCTTGGACTCGCAGGGGTTCCTCATCCTCAGCGCCGTCCAGGGCGTCACGGCCACTACGACAGCAGCGGCTATGGGCCGCGAGAAGCAGGCTGGTGCGATCAAACGCTACCATCTCAGTGACTTCCGTCAGCCATACACGCCGGAGATGGAAGTGCAGGAACTGCCCAACAGTGTGTGCTTGGATTTCGTAGACGGGTCTGGCTTGCAAATTGCTTGTGAGGACCGTGCCGGGCAGCTGAACGTTCTGCATAGTAAGTTGTTCTTTGCTGAAGATGAAAGGGAAGGGTTTACTGACAGCATGTAGTTCTTCAAGATGCGCATCAGAATCACACGTCTTTCGGCCTTTAAGGGCCACACCACTTGGCATCATCAGCCCGGCGTACTGGTTACATGTTCTCGCCATTCTTCTCCACGAGCCCAGCTTCATCCGGTGCCTCAGCACGAGGTTCTTCTATGTCTACCATACCATATCATACCCCACCAAAATTTCCAACAACACTTGACGAGTCTGACGACCTCCCATTTTGTTCCCTTGCTTGCTGTCGCCGAACTCATTCTTTTTCTCTTGAGTTTTCGGGGACGCTATTCTTTTTCTCTCCAAATTGTTATATTCTCGCCCTGGAAAGAGAAAAGCTGGCTTGCTGCTTCACGGCTGAAACCTGACCACCACTGATATGATACCACCACTACCACCACCACCGATCATGCGAGAGGGGGGGATTCTGACATTCTTGTTGTTATGTCCTTTGTTTTCCTGTCCTACCTACACTACCATCCGTTCCATTCGATTCGATTCATAGCAGAGCAGAGGAGAGGCGTTGAGATTCTTTTTTTTGCTTCGGTGTAGTCTTCTGAGAGGCTAAGGCTCAAGTTGCCTGATGAGCATTGTGAAGATCTGTGGAGAAAGTGAAAGATAGTAAGGGGGGAGGAGGTAGTAAGATGAGATACATGCGATGCATGCATATCTTGTAGTATGTACAAAAGATGGGAGCATTCTGAGCTGTTGATGATATTGTTGTCGTTGTTGGTTGTACATACTTCACATATATATATCCCGAGAAAGAACCGTAGCAGGACGAGTGGAGGGGAGAGAGCCTTGTGCGTGGGATAATAGAACGCCCTCGAGGCGCTTTTGAGAACATGAGATCTCTTGATATGATGGTGATAGAGGTGTCGTTCCTTCCTGTATAACGGAGCTAGATCGTAGTCTGCCTGTGTGGTAGACACGGCAAGGCGATCTCGGAACAGGCTGTGGAATGGCCTGACACGGTTTCTTTTTCCCAGCCTATCCCTGTGTCGGTCATCGAATTTTCCACAACATGCATTATCGATCCGACTAAGAGACACTGTTTGACTGAAGGACTGGCTCACCCATTGCCAAACAGTGACATCGATATCTGTATTCGACATTCACAATCCATAATCGACCTCTGGTTGTATATAGTCGGTCTCAGCTTATAAAGCATATCGTACGATGTAATCGGCTGTCAGAACGTGATTGTGTGCATCGCTTTTGGCAACAGCCAGGTGTACACAATTATGAAGTCCAACCTCCTTAGTAGGGCTATTGAAGTTCTATGAAGAAGCCTATCCATATGACAATACAGAAGACTTATTTGTGTACATCATGTGGGTATTAGTGTCAGAAAAGAACAGGTACAACACCGTCGTAAGGACCTCATTGTAAACATGTGAATATCGCCCTTGTCCATCCGTCCAGGGTCAACGCTCTCAACGCAAATCACGTTTTGCAACGCAACAGCAATTTAACGATTGTAGCTCGGCCCCCCCAGGCTGCAGCGGAGAGAGCAGATTCTCCCTGCCCATTCCTGCTCCTGAGATGGACATCAGCCCCGGCACTTACAAGTGCAGCCACAATTTCCTCGGAGCCTTTTGATACTGCTAGGTGGAGAGGACTATCGCCGCACTTGTTGATAGTATTCACACTGGCTCCGGCATTGATAAGCTTGGTTACACATTCCCTCGAGCCTAGCCTAATTGCTGAATGGAGAAGGCTATCACCATACCTATCTACTGTTGTATCAGCATCACGAAGCAGAGTCGCTGCCTCTAGGTTGGCACACTTCAATGCTAGGTGGATAGGTCTCTCGTCATCTTGATTTGTAAGACTCGCCGATGCTCCAGTCCTCAAGAGTTGAGTCAAAGCCTCCATAAAGCTGTATTTGACTGCCGAATGGAGAGGACTATTTCCGTCTCTATCAGTAATGTTCGTCAATGCCCCAGCTTTCAGAAGCTCGGTTACGGCCTCTATGGAGCGATGTTCGACAGCTAAGTGAAGAGGACTCTTGCCACGGTAATCAAGAATGTTTGGTGACAGCTTGGCACCTAGAAGTTTAGTCAAAAGGTTAATAAAGCCATTCTTAACTGCCAAGTGGACTAGACTCCTGCCCTTGCTGTCGATGAAATTTATATTGGCACCACTATTGATGAGACTCATAGTAACATCAAGAGAGTTTCTTTTAACTGCTAAGAGAAGTGGACTCTCGCCCTTCTTGTTCGTGATATTCGCATTGGCACCAGAATTGATGAGGCTAGTGACAATGTCCTGAAAGTCTCTTTCGACTGCCAAGTAAAGAAGACTCCTGCCCTCCTCATCAGTGAAGTCTAGATTAGCACCAGCCTCGATGAGGCTAGTGACAATATCTTGATAGTTTCTTTCAACTGCCAAGTAGAGCAGACTCCTGCCACTCATGTCAATGAAGTTTACGTCGGC